TATTTGTAATGCTTTGTAGTATCCTGAGACAGCAGAAGCTGTAAAATTCTTGCACCTGCAGGGCTGGGGAAATGGAGAAATTGAGTTGACATGCTTGACTTTTCCAGGTGTGGTAGTTAGTAATATTGAGTTTCCCAACCACATATATGTACTATATAGATACTACATGGGATCTCACAAATTTTTATTACAATTCCAGACCATAAACTACTTGTTTACTTAATGTATGTTCTTATATATATGTCACCTGTAGCCATGTTTGCTCCATAAAACTTTCACTTAAATATTAGTGGAGGACTGCACTGAGTACATGCACATATTCAGTAATAGTAGACCTAATAAAATACAAAATTTCTCTGTTTATTAGTCTTCCAAGATACTCTCTTTTTAAGCATTTTTAAAAGTGGAGAAGGTAGACTGATGTACATAGATTCTCATTTCTTCCCCAAGTACCCAACCTTGAGTCGTTGTCTTAAAATAGTTATTTGAGTTAATACACTAATTGTAAAGCAGACATGAATAAGTAAATATGGCCAAATTATTCAAATACATTCTTTCTCTGGAAGAAAATTTTCTGGACTCTGTGTTTGCTTTTTGAAGTACAGTCTCAAGACTCTGATCATAAGTATCATAACTGGAACAATAGTGTTTTCTGGAGGCCCTCTTTAAGGGACTGCTTTTAGAAGTGTTAAAGAAAGAAAAAGGGAAAAAAAAAAGAAAAAGTCTTAAATATACAAACAAAACAACCAGAAATGTAGTATGCCTGAAGCTGTGGCTTTATTAAACACTGGTAGAAGCTTTCTTTTCTTGAACTATAGCAATAGATGTTAGTTGAATCTCAGCTAACTGATCCAACGCTCTTTACAGCCCATTTTTCTTTCCATTTGATACTCGACAAATGCTGTTTTATGTAACCGCTTTTGATCGTGATCGAGCCATGCAAAGACTACTGGATACTAATCCAGAAATCAATCAGTCGGACTCTCAAGATAGCAGAGTGGCACCACGACTGGACAGGAAAAAAGTAAGTATGACCTATCTGTAAATGGAATGAATGATCTGTTTGCTTTGCTGGTGTCTTTGAGAACGACATTTTGAACAAGGTTATTTTTTTAAACTTCAACTTTCTGTAGGATAGCTACGGAAGCAAAAATGAGCCACCTTTTCACAAGCCCAAAAACATAAAATGTGTGTCTTCTAGGCATCTGCCATTAGATGGCAGAACTGGCTATTTTATAATTATATTGCTTTTCCTGAGCCTGAAGTTGGCGAAGGCTTTCTGGGCATTCCTAAGATGAACCTAACAGTTATTTTGATTTGTTATTTTCATAGACTGGCAAATGGCTTCTAAACCTCTGATTCTCTCTACGTAGAATTCCAGAATAACTGCAGTAATAGCATTTAAGGAGTTTAACTATTACCTGAATAAACTGAAACCTTGTCCTTAGCATTCTGAGAGAGTGTTTAAAACTCCTGTCACTATGCAATAATATAGTTAATTTGTGACTGTCTTAAATTGGCAGTGTCTCTGGTGTCTCATCTTGAGTCTGGAGAGGGATGTTATTTGCTTTCTAGTATAGATATGCAGCATAATCTTGGATACCTTGGGAAGAAAGACAAGAGAAGTTAGGTTCTCATGTAACTAGTAAGGTTCTCATGTAGGTTCTAGGTGTAACTAGTTAGGTTCTCATGTAACTACTTCTGGTAGATAGAAATCCCAGTGCTGTGTTTGAAACCTTCAGTTTTCTCTGCTACAGATCTTGGAATGGCAGGAAGAGGAAGCTTCCTTTAGGCTGCTGAGCTTCAGCATCTCTGATTTGTTTTTCTGCTCAATCTACTAGCTTTGGGGTGATGGCAAGAGCAGAAAACCTATGTGAATGTAGGCTAATAGCTTGTATGCTACATCATCTTTTCTAGGCCAGTGCTTACAGAGCTCTTTTACTTCTCAAACATTAAACTGAAGGGAATGGACTGACCACTGGGACTCTGCTGTCCCAGACAGGCTCCTCACATGCATGTGAGGTGTATAACATAACATCACGTGGTGACACTTTGCTATGTTGTAGCCCTGTTGCTGGATCCTGGACAAGAATAGCAGCTGTTCTAAGTTACACTGGTAGAACTGTAAGGATTTTTGTTTTATGTTAGTATTCCAATAGTATTCTAATCTGTTTTAATATAAGGCAAGAATGTAGTCAAATGGAATATGAACTCACTAATTATTGAACTGTTCAACTACTGACGTGGTGGAAAAGTTTGTGTAATTAAAATCTCTTCTTGTTTTAACTGTCTTGGGAATTTGGACTTACAGACATAATTTCATTACTTAAAACTTCTCTATAATGTGTAGCGCACTGTGAACAGAGATGAGCTGCTGAAACAGGCAGAATCTGTGATGCAGGATCTAGGCAGTTCAAGAGCCATGTTGGAAATCCAGTATGAGAATGAAGTAAGTAATGTCAATGCCATCTAACTTAACTCCTTTTTAATAAAGATTAATGCAAAAAGCTATCATTTCCCTAGAATGACTTGGTCAGAATCTCCTTCCTGCTGCCATGAAATTCTGTCTATTAATTATCCCTCATCTGCTTAGTTACAGTTTTTAATTGCCAGGAGAAACTCTGAATGTGTCCATGGAATTTCATAATTGGCTTTATTCTAAAACGTATGTTTCTTCTAACACTCACCAAACAGCTGCACTTCCCTTTCTTCTATAGTATGATCTTTAAGTGGGTAATTCTTTCATTCCTTTGTTATCTACTCTGTGATGTATGGTTTTCTTAAGCTTTTCAATTCTATTATAACTGTTGGGGTAGTTAATTTCTCTATAGGCTATTGCAAAAAACCTCTGTTGTAGCATGAATTCAGACTAAGTAAAGATTTTGCTGTGACCTAATGGACTGTTTTGTGTGTTTTTTATTTTTGTTCTTGTTGTTCTCTCCTTGCACCCTTCCTTCCCTTCTGAAGGTTGGCACAGGCCTAGGCCCCACACTAGAGTTCTATGCACTTGTATCTCAGGAACTGCAGAGAGCAGACTTAGGCCTCTGGAGGGGAGAAGAAGTAACATTAGCCAATCCAAAAGGTAAATATTTTGTTACTAAAGCCCTCAATGCTGATCAGATATAAGACTGATTCTCAGGTGGCTTTTGTTAGTTGAAGAGTTTCCATAGTATCTCATATTCCAGTCAGATGCTAAGGCTCATGATAGGGTGAGATTATTTAAAAATAATAATAATAAAAATGTTTAGATTATGGTTATCAACAGATGAATAAAAGTTACCTACTTTTAAACTTGACTCTGGAATGCAGCAACTAGAGTGTGTGGAACTTCTTTTTTCCTTCTTCAACAGGAAGTCAGGAAGGTACCAAGTATATTCATAACCTTCAAGGCCTTTTCGCGCTTCCCTTTGGAAGAACAGCCAAGCCAGCTCACATCGCAAAAGTTAAAATGAAGTTCCGCTTTCTGGGCAAACTGATGGCCAAGGCCATCATGGATTTTAGACTGGTAAGAATAAAACATAGAGTGATTCTAACAGGTTACATGAAAAATCTGGTTTGGGGAGGAAGAGGGGAGAAATAGCCTTGAGAGTTGCATGGAATCTTCCTTCCCTTTAGGGAGGGAGGACAATATATGCTGAAGATCTTTAGACTTATTCTTGAGGCTACACTGCAAAAATGGAAAAGCTAATTCCTGTCTGGTGTTCCAGTTTCTGCATACTGGCTCCAAAATTATTTTTGGTTTATTTGCTGCTAAGCCAGCTGATAATTTGCTGATTGTTCTGATGCATACATATTTCAGACCTGTAAATTTCTCAAATCAAAACACTCAGTGTTTTGGGATGTGAGAAAACTAACAATTACTCAGTATTCTAGATCTCACCAAGAAGGAAAATAGGAAAATATTATAGTTCTGAAAACATTAATAGTTCAGTACTAAAACATGTTTTGATTCCTAGGTGGACCTTCCTCTTGGACTTCCTTTTTATAAATGGATGTTAAGACAAGAGACTTCCTTGACATCACATGATTTGTTCAGTATTGATCCAGTAGTAGCCAAATCAATATATCATCTTGAAGATATTGTAAGACAAAAGAAGAGACTTGAACAAGACAAAACACAGGTAGGACAGTAACCTAAGAAAGGAAGAATGCATCGTTACACGTTTCTGGTCTTTAAGAAGTGTTGAATAGTGTGTGATGGTGCTTAGAATCGGTGATAATAGTGACTACTTCATTTTAATAGAAGGAATAGTATTAACATGGCTAGTAATTATAACAGCAGCAATTGTTTGTAGACTTAATCATTAAGCCATTCTGGGTAATGTGTACCTTAACATTAGAAGTTTATTGCAGAGTCTGTGTGGTTAGAAGCAAGCTAGAAACAGTGAAAATGGTGAATTCTTTGAGTAACTTCTGGTCCGTTCAAGGATTGTAACTGGCTTCAGTATGGGGAGGGGGAAAAAATCTATCTTTGATTTTGAACATGCATAAGGCTTAGCTTTTGTTACTAATTTAGTTTTGTTACTAGTTTAATTTTCTTTTTTTCTTTATTTGGAAACGCTTTTGCTTTTTCCACTGAAAAAAATATGTAAAACTAATACAAATTCACTTTATGTAAGCATACAGATCCTTCTACAGCAATAGAATTCTTAAAGGATACCCACTCTTGTTGGTAGGAGGAGGGTTGTCACATATGCTTTCTTTTCGTGTGTGACGTGAAAGCATCCAATATTAATAGATTAGATGGTAGTAATATAGTTCCTCCTCTCTGTATATCCACTTTGTTACTAGTGAAGTTATTGCAGCCCCTCACTCTCCCCTTGATCACCACTTCTGGTTTCCAAATAAGAGTTTGAAAAGTCTGAAACCCGATGGAAAAAAGCTGAGAAACATCAGCATGCATGCCAAGTACAAATGCTGTTAATTTCTGTAAGAGGCTGAGTACCTCAGTTTCACATATTCCTCCTTTGCTTGCAACAGTATTTTCCAAACTTATAATATGCAAGAATGAAAAACAATCCAGAGTAGCTAAAAAAAAAAAAAAAAACTTTCCGGTATATCCATTTAAGATTTTTGCCTTGTGTTTTTTGCTGTTATATATACACTGGGGAAAATGGAGGAAAACAAGTACTGTAACTGTATTAAAAGTAATTATTATAGAAATGTTCTTTTAGTCAAAACTGTTTTAGAAGTTGTAACTTTTGGATAAATTGATATGAATGAATTGTTCCTTACTGGCTTTTACTTGACTCTTTTTTTTTTATTTTATTTTTTTATTTATTTTTTTTTTTAAAGACCAAAGAAAGTCTACAATATGCATTGGAGGCTCTGACTATGAATGGCTGCTCAGTGGAAGACCTAGGGCTGGACTTCACACTTCCAGGGTTTCCTAATATAGAGCTGAAAAAAGGGGGAAAAGATATACCAGTCACCATCCACAATCTAGAGGAGTATCTCAGAGTACGTAAAAGCAAAGTTAGGGCTGCGTTTATTAATTCTTTCTCACTTTACTCCCCAGTGTGTTTCCAAATGTATTTCGCTTCATTCTTGTGGACACAGCAATACTTCTGCTGCTAATTGCTTCTGGTTTGTTCTAGTTGATTACCAAAGAAAGAATTTGAACCTAGTCAAGGCAGTTGAAATTTTGTCATAGAGAATTGTCTGGCTTATACTTAATGACGTCTTCAGACTTACAGAGGTGTGTAGGGTTCTCGTTTGCTTTTTATGACTATAAAGTGTTGTAATAGATGGAGTTGAGTAGAGCTGCCAACTTTCAGATTCTCTTAATAAGATCCCTCATTTTGATATGCTAATGAGTGTTTAGGCTACTGATGCAGCAGCTCTTGCCACACTTCAGTTGTCTTTGAAATGTGGTGCTGGTTTTGAAGCTCTTTGAGTCAGGGTTACGAAAGCATCGGCTCAGTGCTGAGCAGAAATTAAAGCAAATGTTTAAACCTTTAGGTAAGGAAGAGGGAATAAAACAATGCTGTAATAAGCTGAATGTAATAAGATGCATGCATCTTCATTTCTGTCTCAGAAAGGACATAAAGCCTAGGGAAAAGGGCAATACTGATGAAGTTTCTGCATAGGGAAGTATGAAATGGAGTAGAATCAATCCAGCCTGGCAAGGAGATGGGGAAAGAAAGGAAGAATGAAGCCTGAAGTCAAAGTCAGGAGGAGGATGGGGCTGGGAATAGTTTTTTGCATGCTGAAAATGTCAAATTCTAGTTTCTAAATAACGTATTTTTAGGAAAATTCATTTACTACTAATTTGATTCTCAGAGGATTGTTAAGATTTTCAAGCACTTCCCAAGCTCCTATATATTACCTGAGAAATTTGCAAAGTTATTCCCTAATCTACACAACTGAATGTTAGGAGCAATTTTAGTTCATGTTCCAGATTCAACCAGTGTGCACATACGCAGTTTTCATAACTCTGCTTGTTGAAAGAGAATGTTGCTGATCAAGAGCACTTAAGTCTGCTTGGAAATAAAGCTGTTTGCAGACTTGCAGATGAGAAGTGCCAGCAACTGTAGTTTGTTAGAAACAGAATTTTCATTCTTAACTTGCCAAGCAAGTTTGTTTCCAAGTCTGACTTGGAGTGTTTGCAATCAGTTACTTGCTCTAGATAGCCTTCATGATTCTCCCATATTTGAAATATGCTTTCAGGGTTGCAAAAGGTTTGCTTGCTTCTTGTTTGGAAACTTGCAGGACTTTTTTCTGTAGAAGACACTTGTACTTTTTTTTTTTTTTTTCCTCTTGGCTTTATATATTAAGAGAAGATTAATATAAATCCCATTATCTGCTATCCAGGCTTAATGTCAAGGAAACAGAACGACTTGAGACTTATCAATGACCTCCATGTCATGCGTATGATGAATTGCAGTTTTGAGGCAGTGCGCTGATCAGTTAGCCTCTACACCTTCCTATGAACAACAGCCTTGCTATTTTCATTAAAATCTTGTTTAATTACCATTTACACTAGTTTATAAAACTAAGATATCCTACTACTACTTGCATGCCACCTCCCCCTGCCTGTTGTACATTAATCAGAAAGCACTACCTTACATGCACTACCTTAGTCAGAAAATTGAGCTATATGAGCCAGTAGTGTCCTGAAAGACTTGATTCATTTTTCTCCTTCCAGGGTAAGGAGACTGATTTTCTTACTATAGATTTCTGGACAATCAAATTTGTGGACACCTGGCTGATAGAAAATACAGTTCCAAGTCAACACCATCTACTAAAATAGTGTAGGGGCTTTTGTGCTGCTGGTGCTTATGAACTTGCTCTCTTCAGTATGAAATCTGATGCATAAAAGTAGGGATAACTGAAATACAAGAATTACATTTTCCCTAAAGAACTTTCCACAGAACCTGTAGGCTGTCGATTCTGAGAGCTGTCTGGACTCAGTAATTCTAATTATTGGAACAGTGTTCAAAATCTGCTTCAGAAGTCCAGCAATATCATGAGTTCTTACCCTGTTCAGACACATGTCTAAATAAACATCTTTGGAAGCTTGCTCAGTGTTGCAGGTCAGAGCATTATCACGTTGAAGCCAGTAGTTGTGTTGCAACTCGTGGTTTACAAGCAACCTTCATTCTCGGTTGCAGTTGAGGACACTGCAAGTGTAATCATCAGTGGCGCTACCTGATAAAAGAAAAAACAGATCTTGAACTTGGTTATGTGCCATCAACCATTTACCAAAATGTCTCAACTCTTTAGTATACAGACGCAATACCTAGATTAGGCTTTAATAACATCTAAAACGTGATATATTTTTTTGAGCAAGGCTTTAACTTCTGTTAAATAGAACCAGCTTAACCAGCTGCTCAGATTTCTGACTATTAGCTTTGCTCCCTCAAAAATCAAGCCATCAGTTGTTTAAATTGCATTTCAGTTACATGTTTGGTGTATTCTAAATATGAGTTTTGTTTGCATTTGTGGTGATGAAGCAGATAAAGTTTTTTGTTGTTGTTTTGTTATCCTTTTTTATTTATTTTAAACACTGTTGCACTGCAAGAGTGCTACGCTTGCATACAGGCAGCAGTGAGCTTGTGAATTAGGGCAGAATAAGGCCATGCCTTAGAGCAGCAGCATGAATCGAAGTTCAAATTCTGCCAGTACAGCAAGCCTATGATCAGATTTCTGTGGATCTCTCTTTCCATAGTCTGTTGTATAGAAGTGATAGTCCATTCTCCCTTATTCAAATAACTTTTTTCTCTTTTCTCCTGCAGTTGGTTATATTCTGGGCACTAAATGAAGGTGTTGCCAGACAGTTCGACTCCTTCAGAGATGGATTTGAATCTGTCTTCCCCCTCAGTCATCTTCAGTATTTCTATCCTGAGGAGGTTGGTAAAAGTGTTCTGAATTGATGCTGTCATGATGCTCTCATTCCTTTTGGCTCTATGTATAGGCAATCCAGATACTGTGTAGTCCTAAAACAATAGACTTATTTCTTGTATGATGCATATTAGCTGCAATTCAGTCTTTTAAACTGCATACTTATATTTTTAAGATTTTGTGCAGCAGCAGTTTGTTTTGATGCTGAACTCAGTTTCCTGTAAAATCTAGTATAACCATCTCTTTCCAGGAGAATGCTTCAGTTTTATGTTTAGGCTATGTATTGGAAGGAAGGTGAAGCAATTCCTTGTGTTGCAATTCCTCCTTCTAGTTGCAGGACAGTTGTGGAATTTACTTGGGACATACTATGGATGGAAGGGAAAAGCTTTTTAACAAGAACAGAGGAAGAAGCAAAGAATAGCATACTTCCACTTTTTTTTTTTTTTTTTTTCCCCCTTAGCTCTTAGATGACCTGAATCGATATTCTGTTTGGATTAGAAAAGAGGGTCCTTTATTACTCTGCCTGCCTTTGAGGAGGTTTTTTTTTTCTTTCTTTCTTTCTTTCTTTTTTTGAATACTGTGCTTCCTAGGTTTTGCTTACAATCGTAAACTTGCACCTTTAACTTCATGAAGGAATGTTAGGTATGCAGTGAAACAGCCACCTTCAAGAGTACCACCACCACCTATTTTTCTGCAACAAGTATAAGTCCAGTGAAAAGTATGAATGCTTTAGGTCTATAATCAGTCTCTTAAGGGTCCTCACTAGATTTCTATTTTTTTGTAATATAAGTGATGTTGTAATTTGTTGTTCTTGTATGGTTGCCTGCATGGTTTGATGCTTATTTCTGCTTAGAAATGGTAAAATGTTGATGTTAATCCATTGCGAATTAAGAAATTCTGGTGACCTAAAGTACAGAATAGGAGAAAAGTCCTCCTGAGATATTTGATATCTTCACTAGGACATAAGCATGAGATCTAGTGCTTTGTTGCTAGTCATATATCGGGCCATTTGAGCTTTTTATGCAAATCATTTCTCAGTATTTACACTTTTTTTAAAAAAAACTGTTTATAGAGGGAATAGCTAGGTGTGTCAAACTTCTATTTCTATTGAGATCTGGGCTTTATAACTCTCTTATTCTGGAGGGACATCTTTCACATTTTGGCTTTAGCCTGTTAGCTCTGCTTGTCAAATACCATAGGAAGAACAGGCAAAGCAGGTTAACCTGACGTACAAAGCAGCCATGTAACAGATACCCCTCTGCCTAATGATTTATGCTACTTTATTATTTGAAAAAAGAAACCAGAGTTCTAAAACGAAAATGTAAACACTTCATTCTCCCCCTTTCCACAGATTTATTTAAAATTATGAAATAGTTCCAGAAGAGTTAAGGCATTTTTGGTCTCAAGTGTAAATTACTTTGGAGGTTTGCTTCAGATCCCAGAGATTCATTCAGCATCCCTGGCTCCCACATACACTACTGGACTGTTGGCAAAGGCAGATTCAGGTAGTGAGGCTGTGGCTGGGATGCAGGTGTTTAGGTCTGAAGAACTTGGAGGTTGTGTGGCTTGGCTGAGGTAGACTTGCAGTGCACTGTTCCAGAAAGTGCTGCTGCAGTCCTAATGGAATAGGCAGTCTGCATTCTGCGTCCATTCTAAAGGGAGGGGGAAAAATACCTTGTCTTTAAATTTTACAGCTGGAGCAGCTCTTGTGCGGCAGTAAAACGGACACTTGGGATGCCAAGACATTGATGGAGTGTTGCAGACCAGATCACGGTTATACCCATGACAGGTAACATGGTGTCAGGCTTATTAAAATTAAATATTAGCACTGGAAAACATGCATCTGAATATTTAATATCCTGTTGCTTGAATGTCATTATTATATGAAGCTTATTTGAAAATGTCGAGATGAATAGAAATCTGATGCAATTATTTTAACCATAAACAAAATATTAAAAACTGTCTTTCTCTCCCTTTTTAGTCGAGCAGTGAAATATCTCTTTGAAATTCTCAGTAGTTTTGATAGTGAGCAGCAAAGACTGTTCCTTCAGTTTGTGACCGGTAGCCCCAGACTGCCTGTAGGAGGTAGGTTTTGTTTATAATATATTGCTTGGTATGAAATTAATACTACTGATGCCTTTCAGAATAAATGGATTATTTCAGGAAAGGCAGAAGTTATTTATGTGTGTGTTTGTATTGGTGCCTCATATTTATTTGACAGCTCTTGTTTTATAAGAGCGGATTTCAGCTGTCTTAAGACTAATCACGCATTAGTTTCAAAGCTTTTAATTCAAAGGATTCTCTCTCATGGTTTAATTCATGTTACCTATTACAGAACCATGAAAAGTTCAAACTTCTTTGTTCAATTGTTTAAAATAAAAACCCATCACCTTGTTTTCTTTAGCTAGAAGTATGTACTGTAAATTGTGACCAAAAAATAATTCTTACCATGTTCTTAGCTGAATGTTTTTGCAAATATTCCATTATATGTATGCTTTATCTACTTAATATTATTTTATTAGTCTCTTTAATCCCTTATTTTAGAGAATGAGCTGATTAACTTTTTTCTTCTGGAGAAAGTTCAGGCAGGATTGAGGAGTAGGAGTGCAAAAACCTTAGCTGCAGGGGAAAAAGGTATAAATGTGGTGACAAAAGTCAGATATATTCCAGGTATCTTCAAAAAAAAAAAAAAAAAAGGCATGAGAACAAAACTTTTACAACTCTTATTCTGGGAATAAGATTTTTTTTACTTATAAAGAATGCAGAATTTAAAAATAGATCTCTCTAGTTTTCCCAGGATTAGTAAGAGGGGAATAAACTAATCGGAGAAAACTTCCAGTATTTTTTTAGCTTGTCCTCTGGCATTGTGAAGCCATATGATAAAAGTTTCAAGGTAGAGGTTTTTTGAGGAGTCGCTCGGTGAGGGTATATGCTGGCTGCATTAGTACAGCATGGCTTTTCAGGGAGAATGCTCTTGCTCTGAATCTCTCTTCTCATTAACAGGCTTTCGAAGTTTGAATCCACCACTGACAATTGTGCGCAAGACATTTGAGTCTACGGAAAATCCAGATGATTTCTTGCCCTCAGTAATGACTTGTGTGAACTATCTCAAATTGCCGGACTATTCAACTATTGAGATAATGCGTGAAAAACTCTTGATAGCTGCAAGAGAAGGGCAGCAGTCATTCCATCTTTCCTGATCACAATGAAAAATGCAATGTCTGCCTGTTACAGCAAAAGACAAAAATCATGATTCTTTTCTAAATGTATCACCTGAGTCAAGGAAACGTGTTACGCCTTCTTGTTGTAGAAAAACGGCTTGCAGATTATAAACAAAGACACTTGGTTGATATTCATTAAAGGCCCCTATGGACTTAAAGTGATCAGGCCCTAAAAAGTTGTTGTGACAAGGTTTCTTTAGCAAGTTCTTGTTTAAATTATCATTTATTTGATGAGTGAAGTTTTTAACTTGCTTTGCTGTGTGAAATTTAAAAAGGGATGTTTTTCCAGGCTGGAACAATAAATGTCGCTGTGCAGTTTAATACTGGGCTGTGTGTATCCATCTAGCTAAGTCTGAAGTTTTTCCTCCAAAGACAACTTTTGTACATAAGTACAGAAATTAAAATACACCATGTATTTGACGAATCTAGTTTAGTAGACTAGTTCTGTGTACCCTCACCTGCCTCTAATTTTACCCATCCTCATGTATTGTCTGATGTGCAATTCACTTGGTTCTTTTTGTGTGCAACATTCGGCAATTGTTATGTTTTGGTTAGCATGGACATTTAACTGCTCCATGCCTTTTTTTTCTCTGATTAAGATAATTTAAATTTTACTGAAATCAAATATATATTGTCAATATAATTCAGCCTTTGTAACTAGGTAGAACCTTTCTTATAGCTTAGTTTTACTGTAGTGGTAGGATATACTGGTGACAGTCTTTACCAGGTGATGCTCTAGAGCTGTTTACACAGTGATTCAGGCAGCAGAAGCCTCTTCCTAGAGGCAAGGAAGAATCCATTTCTTTTGTGTAGTTGAAGTCCAACAGCTTGGGCTGGCCAGTGTTGTATTGTGGTAAGGCCAGAGCATTTCGAATTGATGTAAAGTTTTTTAAAAAGACAAATTCATTGTTTCATTCCCTGTTCAAGTAAACAATTTTCTTGTTCTTGATCTGAATTCCCGGTTACTTTTGTAGCTTTTTTTCTTTCTTTTTTCCTTTTTTTCCTCTCTTTTTTTTTTTCTCCTCTTCCCAGCACTAGCTTGGAACAAACAGTTCAGCCTTTGTCTTTTGACACAGATAAAGCACCTGTAAGCAAATGCTCTGTCCAACTGTTTTATGTGCTGATTTCTCAAATCTGCAATAATTTACTTCATCAGGTTAATGTTTTTACCTGAATATAAATAAAAAAGTTTGCTTCACCTTTTTGTTCATAGTTTTGTACTGTATACATAAAGTTCAATTGTGTAAATTACTGTAATGCAAGTAAATCATCCTGACTCTACTTGGCTAAAAGCCAGCAACTAGTGGATGATTTACTGCTAAAACAAGACCTTATGAAACCTCCAACTCAAAGGGAAATTTTTTTTCCTTTCTATGGGTTTAAAAAAAAATGGGCAATTGCAAATCATCCTGAGATGTACATGCTATATAGTTCATCTCTAAAAATGTGATAGTTAATGACTTTTATTCAACTTTGAGAAATCAAAATTCATTTCAGTGCTTAGTAATTGTTAAATTCTGGCTAATCAGGCTAGTATTTCCCCTAAACTAACAATAACAAGTTTTCTTTTATCTAGCTGAAGAACTTGTACTTTCAGAATCTGTTTTCAAAACCTGTAATGGTAATGGACATTCTTACAGTGAACATTCACAGAGTTACACATGGTTGCTCATACCAGTGCCACTGAACTGTAATGCAGATCTGTTGTGAGCATGAGTAGAATGTGAAATCCTTGCACAAAGAACCTGGTAACTGACCAGCTACCTACCGAATTAGAGCTGAATGAAGGCGCTTCACACCGTACCTAGAATAATGGTAGTGCGCAGTGCGGCATAGTTTTCATAAAACTTAAGGCAGTGTTTAAATGATGGACTGGTGTTTAAATTGTTCTGATAACTTGATCAAACTGAGCACAAAGACATGTTTATAGTGTTTGGATAGCAATTTGTTCATTTTTTAAGGTTCTATATTTTAAAAAAACTGACTTGTGTAAAACAAAAACAAAAAAACTAATATTTTGTATTAAAATATCATGTGTATTGATATTTTTTTACCCATGTTGTCTCCCTCCAGAATCTGGCTTTCATTGATTTCGAGGTGTTTTCAAATTGAAATAGCCATTGGGTAATTCCATTTCAGTGGGAAAGTAAGCTGCTGGTGTATCTAGTTCCTTTTGGAGAGGAGGAATGCCTATTTGAAAAGGAAGGAAAACAATTGATTTGCTATCCTGGCTGTCACTTGCAGCATGACCAAGGATATATGTTGCCTGAAAAGTGAATTTAACCCTTCTGAAGGGGGGCATTTTTTTTCCCTGGCGTCAAGTGCTTTAGCAGAGTAGCCTGCATGACTTGACTGGTTTCTTTTCTCTAACAGGCATAAACATAAGGCCTAGGAGCGGTAGGGCAGGATGCCAGGTGTTCCTCCTCCAGTGGAATCCTGAATGAAAGACTCTCTAAAAGGAAATGAAGGTGTGTTCAGATACCTGCTAATGACGAACCCCCAGAAGCACGGAGAGGCCACTTGGTACTGAACTGCTTTGTATGTCTTTATATCAAAATAAAGTAGTATTTTTGAAGAGAGGCATTTTTAAGTCATAGCACTCAACTGGTTTTAGGGAATGTTTGGACATAAATAGCTGTTTTGTGTCTTTCTGAATTACCAAGAGCAGCAGAAGTTAAGTCATGAGAAGATGACTATCCAAGCCTAGATAGCTGCTACTCCTGTGGTGATTTTTAAATGCTTGTTTTATACAGAAACACTTTGTATAAGAAACACTTAAGTATTGTGGATAAAATCTGAGCTCTTGGCCACATTTGATATGACTCATTATGTTGTAGTGCTTCCCCCTTCTCGTGGGCCAGTGCCAGAGCTTCATTGGATAGTAAAATTGTCATATGCAGACTTCCCGCATAACTTAGCATTCCAGATTTCCCCCTACTTTTTTTTCCCCCCCTTCAAGCACATGTTTGTTTTTCCTGCTTGCTTTCCTTATTGCACTGGCTTCTACTCAAATACGAATGCCTAAGAACAAGGAATGGTGAAGTACCAGGTGCCTGGATCCACTACAGGTCTGCCCTTCTGGTTTTCCTGCCATTGTTTGGAGGTAGGTCCATCATCTGGAGACTGTGTCTGTCCCACCTGAATGCCTGGCGGAGGGCAGGCTGCCTAAATTTTTTTTTTTTGTGAGCATTCTAACTTTCAGTCAGACCATGAACATCCCCATTTCATCTTGTCTGGCTTGATTGACACTAACTCCCTTTTTCTGTAATAATCTTAAAAACTTTAAAACTCGATCACATTTTCCTTCTCTTGGGAAAAATAACAGAAATCAGAATAGGAAGTAATACAATTTCTGCCTTTCAGGTACTGCAGAGACTCTTCCTCTGACCCCCGCACCCCACTTGCTATCAAAAAGTAGTGAAAGATGCTGGTCTGTACATGACTCAGCCAGTTACAAAACTGATCTGAATGCTCACCTTGCCTCAAGGGAGAGTTAAGAAGGGAAACTCTGTAAAATAGGGGAGTATTGCCTGTGGCCTAGGCCCAGGTCATGGACAAGCTTCTCTTCCTAGGCCCTGGCTGTACACTTGGGATTTGTATCTTCTGTTAGGGTAGGTAAAAGAGCTCTTTTCAGGTCTAAGTTACCGCTGTAGGGCACAGCAGATATTCTCCTTGAGAAATGGCAGAAATTACACTTCAAAAACCCAAGTCCCATAAGCAAACCAGGATTTACACTACGTTGAAACAAAAATAATGTTGCTGCCAGCCAATCCTTTCTAGGGCTGGTCTCTCTCCTGATAGCTTGAGGTGAAATGTCTCTGCAGTGTTTGCTAATTCCTAAGGAACGGTCTTTCTGTGATCCTGCAGGAATTTCGGAGCTGCAAGGCCTCCGCTTGCTGCAGCTCTCCCCGCTCACTGTGTTTGATACCTTCTCCCTGGTGACCGTAGCTAGCCAAGCTGCCCCAAGCGTCACCTCACCCAAGTGCTCTGCCTCACCCAGTCCTTGGCCAAAGTTGCTACTTTTCAGCAGAGCGTAGATCTGTGCTTATGCAGGGGATAGGAAACAAATTTATTAGTTATATTGTCTATGGCTAACAGCAATTAGCTTGAAACAAATTAGTGTTTATTTATTATTTATTAGTTATAGTTATATTCAAGCAATTAGCTTGAAACAAATTAGTGTTTTGGTGGCCTGAAAATGTAGACAAGGTGTAAAGGAATATCATGTTTGCTGCCGATAAGTGTGTGTATTGATATGGCCTCAAATTCCTTTGGAAGTGGAGGATAAGCAAATTTTGGATCTCTTCCTTTGCTGTGTGTATTTGGGGGATCACTGGTGAAATCTCAAGCCATAAATAGAAGAATTTATAAAGAGGGGCAGAAAAAAAGGAGGATATATCCAGCACTTCAAGATGTTAGTTTATAGAAGGTCAGAATAAATCTCCCTCTAGCTACAGAGCCATAGTATGGTATGCACATGCTGTTCCAAAAAAAAAAGAAAATGGAGGGGGAGAACTCCCCAATCTTGTGTCATTTTACTATAGTGAAGAAGGAAATTGTCCAGTTCAAGCCATAAGCAGCACATGGTGGGGGATCTTAAAAAAGTGTGTGTGTGGGTGATTTTGTTTAGGTTTTGGGTGGGGGGTGGTAGTATGTGTGGTGTTTTCCCTTGACTGAGCTTAAGTTGTGTAACACACAGGATGCAGCTCTCTGAAACTCTTATCAGAGATAGTGTTGATAAGACTGCGGGGGAAAATGACTACTTGTCAAATCATTTTGTGAAGCAGCAGGCATCTTGAGTGTATTTCCTGAGAATGTAAGACAGAAGAAAGAGATGCTCTTAGCAGAAGTAAGCTTAAATATGAGTATCTTCTCATATGCTGAAATTGAAAGGAGGCTGATGCTGTGCATGCACTTGAAAATGATGCAGTTAGCCCATCGAAGCAGCTACCTCCCAAATACACCCTGGATGGGAAAATGGGGAAGAGAAGTTTGAGATTTCCTTAGCTGCCTACACCGCACTTGCAGCTGCTGGGGAAGTTCCCAGACTTGGTTGTCTACCCTGGAATGTTACTAGAATAAACTAGCAGCAGAATCTGTGGCAAGCAGCTAACGACACTCAACAAGACTGTGTTTGTAGCATTCCATTCTGTAGCTCAATGTTATAGATCAGATTCCTGCCTTGCAGGAGCCTGGTGGGGGAGGCTGCTGTTGAAGGTCTCTGGTGTAATTGTTGCTGACAGAATCAGGGTACATGTCAAAGACCTTTGGTAACTTTAAGCCCATGCTTTCAAGGAGGACAGCAACCTCACCTAATGCCTTGAGTGAGTTACAAACAGATCCTGGTGGGGCAACACAATGTAGTTAAACTAAAATCTTGACTGAGTAGGAGCCCCTGAGCCACAGACGACTGGAAACAGAGAGGGCAAATTGGGGCAAATATCATAGGGGTTGTGTTACTCTGCCTTTAGCTGCTGTCTGAGGTATTCTAGGCTAAAGATAAGCCTGGTCTGACTCGGTGCTACAGCTCTTGTACAAGCTGTCGTACACAAGGAAGGCTCTTTGCCAGGTAGATGATGCAGGCAGGGAGCCAATCTGGAGGTGGCCTTTTTTTCCCCCAAAACAACCTTTTCCTCACAGATCATTATTTCTCCTGTGCAGTTTATTTTTCAGTATTCTTGCCAAAGACACGATCAGTTGTTGCCTTCATACTAACTCTTTTGGATCATAGTATACTATATAGTACATAGATTTCTTCTGTGCTGAAACAGGTTATTTCTGACCCAATTCCTCACTCTACTGATGCCAGAGGTTTAATATCCATAAGTCCTAGACAAGGCTCTCAATCAGTCTCCCAAGCATTTCCCTGTACATCTCCCAAGTTTTTGCGGTCAATACAGCCATCCTCCCTGCCAGTCTAGCCACACAATTACCTTCTCCCATCTATACTCGATCTAAACATGCTAATGCTTTATGCTTAACAAATCTTCTTCTATCCACATATATATCCAAAGATAAACCTGTTACATAAGCAGCATCTCTTTTTTTCCAGACTTCATTTTGTCCCTGACAAAAGACAACTTTGTGTATCCACACTCGGTGGACAGCTATCCAGATCACTTCTAGTCTGCTGCTTTGCTTGTGCAACCGTCTGTTCATATTCATCTCATACCTGCCTTTTCTCGGCCCCATCAGTATCAAGTTCTTGTTTCTCAGTGGTCCAAACAAGAACCTTTGTTCCCTCTCCTGTTCTTCTGGCATCTGTACATATTCTGTAGTTACCTTGGCCTTTAAAAAGCTTCTTTGCCACAAGGTTTACTCAAAAATGAGGATGGTAAATGATGACTGTCGCCAATGACGCTGTTCAGAGAATCAAAATGAGGATGGTAAATGATGACTGTCAGCTGTGGTTATGGCCTGTCAGGTTGTGTCCCTTGTGGTCTGTCATCTTTTTGGCTCTCCTTTCTGAGGCTTTGATGGTGTTTTACAACCCAGAGTGTTCTTCTTTTTATGTACAGCATCAAAGAGAATGTGGTTGCAAATACAGTGAACTAACGTTATCCATGTTGTTGGAAGGAGAGGGGGAAAAAAAAAAAAAGCTGCCAAGGACTTTTTGTTTGTCAGATTTAAAAGAGGGAAAAAAAAAGGGAAAAAAAAAAAACCTAACCATAAAGCAATTTGATTATAAATCAAGTTAGTAGCAATAATTTTATCTTTTTAGAAAATTCTCAATAGAAAAAAAGAATTTCAGTATTTTAAGTAGGTGTTCACATAAGTATTTTATCAAAGACACTTTGCTGCTGTTATTTCTCTTATGAGGTCCACCTATTTGTCTCAATATTAAACATATTTGTTCTAAAACTGGAAAATCAAGGAAGATCAAAATCTTTTACACTTAACATTATGGTTCTTAACAATCCTAAGGACTGTTAATAAATCTAGGCTATAAAACTTGCATTGTATTGCACTATACCACTAAAATCACATTCTGAAGAGTAAATGTGTATGTTCCATTAGGGTTTTTATTATAAAATTACTATTGGTG